AACCAGCATTGTTTGCTGTGAAAGCATATAACTCTGTCCACGCAGAATTAAATCCTGTGTTCCTACGATACTTTTCTTTGATTTATCCATAGTTCGCTCATCGAGCCGGGGGTCAGGTTATTCACCCGCAGGAAAAGGCGCTCGAGCGGGACCGTAGCGCATATTTTAGTTGACCTAATTAAAACCGTTTTGTTTTTTATTTATGTGTCACAGTATCACCTCAAAATACAAGATACGAAACATTTTCAACCATGCAAGAAAATGTAAATAGTCCTACAAATACTTTTATTTTATTTCCTTCTTATTTTTGTCTAAGCTCAAAGAAGCCAGAGCAGAGGGCTTAAAGGGCCGCATGCGGCTCGTGGGCCGCGGGTTGCCGACCCCTGCTCTACACCAATGACTGAGCATCCATTCCGACCATCAACCATTGCCCTCCTGTCATGGTCTCAACAGGAACACTTTCCATGTTTTAAGAAGTGCTTTGGCAACACACTGCTGGGTCAAAGAGATGGGAATTTGATTTCTGGAGGAACAATATCAAGACAAACACAGTTGTTATACAAAGTGATGAGATGGTGTTGTTAACCAGTCCAAATATCTTGGTACCATCTTTGATAACACCATGAAGTTTATGCAAAATAAGAAGTACGCCAGGAAACGCAATACATTCTGTGTCTTTCATTAGCTTATTCCCATCCCTCAGTTCAAAGAAAGGAAAAAAAAGCGTTTCTAACCCATTTTGAACTTGTTCAGAAGGTCAGGGCAAAGGACAATTCTGTGATTCCTGTCTGTTTTTACTTGCCTAGAATCACATTGCCATTACAGACTAATACAGTTGTGTTGGCTTGAAAGAAATCCCTGCAAACTTTTGGAAAAGTTATCTGACGACTTTAATTATGCCTAATCGTGCCCTCCATTTTTTCTTGTTAAAACAGTATTGTCTTGCCACGGATGTTTTTTGTTGTTAATGTTTTTTCAAGATTTTCTTTGGGCAACCAGTGCCTTTATTTGAGTGATAGCAATGAAAGGGGGGAATGTCACACGGCACATGGTCACGGGCTGGATCCGAACACGGGTCTTGCCTTGGTTGTTTAAATCATTTGTGATTGGGCCTAAATACAATTCTAGGTAGTGTTTAAAGACAATTTAACAATGTTTTATAGATGCATTTAAATTGTTCTTTTGTTCCCACCGTGATAGAGTTTGAACTGATGCATGTTGACGAGTTCATTGATGAGCTCCTTCACGCAGAGAGGATGTGTGACATCATTCTTCCTCGGCTTCAGGTATGTTCACATCACATCTGTACATGCACACACAGACCTTTATTCAAGTGTTCACACCACTGATTGTGTGTGTGTGAAATAGAAGAGACACGTTCTGGAGGAGGCTGAAATGTTAGACCCACGTATCAGCGCTCTGGAGGAGGATCTGGACGAGGTAGAGAGCAGTGATGAAGAAGAAGAGGACGAAGAGAAGGTACTAACATTTAATTAGCTTTTTTGACTACATGTGAAAACCTGTGTGCTTTTGAAGTTCAACAATAATAATGATTACAGATGGCAGCTAGGGTCATACACTTTAACATGCCAAATCGACCCAGGCTTTGATAAGTTAGCAGTGTAGATTGAGTAAGGAGCGATGGTTTCTCTACTTCCTCAGGTCGTGGTGGTAGACAACATCAGGTTTGTGTACAGCAATAAAGAGACTGTAACCTCCCTGACATTAACACGATGAATCCTAAGCTGTTCCTCTTGAAAAGGGTATGTTCTAATGTTTGCAGAGCAGTTGTGGATAACATTTTTCCAGATTTCCTGTAAATTCGGTTCTCCCAATTTCTTTTTCTATAAAAAAAAAACTTTCTGTCATTTGTCATGTGAACGACACAAAATGTGTTCCAGGAGAGACAATGTGTTTTGTTATCTCTACATTAAAACAAAATCCCATCTCCTTATACATACCAAACAGCTTTTTTCTACACCTTCTAAAGAAAGTCAGTCTGTAGAACCTTTTCAATTAAACTTTTGATCATTAAAGGTAGGATATTTATTTGTACAAGTTAGTGACAGCTGTAGATGTAGTTGCCATGATCAGCACACAAATGTAATACTGTGTTTTACAGCTGTTTCACACAAAGTTGGTTTAGATAATTGTACAATTAAGATTAATACAATGAATGGAACAGAAGGCCAGCTGTGTCACACAGAATGTTTGAGTTACTGAAGTCACCCAAATAATGAATCCACTGAGCAAACGTTTTACAGGATCAGTTAATTGTGGTGTGGGGCCTTTTTAAAATGTGTGTCGTTATTTCCCCCTGCAGCCAGAGAGACTCCAGACCCCTGAGCCCCACAGACGCCGCGACAGTTACCGTGACGACAGACCACGTCGCTCTCCTTCGCCACGTTACAGACGCAGTCGCTCCCCAAGACGGTTTGTGTTTCAATGATAAAAAATAACACCTAAAATGACTACATTCTTGTAAATGTATTTAATTATTGTGAATATAGCTCTTATCCGTTTGTGGGTTTCATTTTTCTTTCTCCAGGAGGAGCCGATCGCCAAAGAGGCGAACGTATGCTTGCTTTTGGCTAAACTCCTTTGTCACCTTTTTTTAAATATAATACTTTAAGCTCAAGCTCATGTCTCTCCCTTTTTTGTGTGAACTCACATAGCCCATCGCCCCGGAGGGACCGCCATCGCAGCAAGAGCCCTCGCCGCCACCGCAGCCGCTCCAGAGACCGCCGCCACCGCTCCAAATCCCCAGGTAGGTTCCTGTGTGGGAACTCAGAAAAACACTATGCCACACTACTGGTAATCATATACTTTCTTTAACATTCTGCTCCCTCATATATGTAAATTGTTGTAAAGACCTCTTAATATAATCTGATATAACAACACCTGAACATAATCTTTACGTATAAATGAATGTTTGATTTTATTCTGTGTTATTGCAAATGTAGCTTTTTAACACAACAGTTAATGCAAATATTTATAATATTATAGAGGAAACTCTTTCATTCTACCTCATCTTACTTGGACTGTTTATTTTTTAATTATCGCTGCGAAACACAACTTATAGTTTTATGTCATCATTTGGAAACTGCTGATCTTTATTCCCTCACTTGGGTGTTTTTACTTAAAAAAGAAAACCAATTGCGAGTGTGAAGGATGATTTGATGATGGTTTTCGCTACTTATTCTATCATTGTTTTCTACTAGGTCACCACAGAAGCCACAGACACCGCAGCCACTCAAAGTCCCTAGAGAGGTGAGTGGTGCTACTGTTTGCTTTGTTTGTCTTCTCGCAAAGTTATAACAATGTTTTTGAATTTGTGGGCCTGGGTATCATTTTTCTAAAAGATGTTTTTTTTTACTTTGGAAGTCAACTTCAATAACTGTTTTCTTAAAACAAACAGATGAACAATCATTTTGCCTAATTTTTTATATCTTCAGTGTAAATTATGTAAGGAAATGTGAACAATTTGTCTAATTATCTACATTCAAAGTCAAAAATGTTTTTTTTCACAACACAGGAGTTCAAAAAAGAGTCACAAGAAGAGTCGAAAAGGAAATGAGTGATGTTTCTTTGACTATATCTTTCATTTTCATTTTTTACCTCCAAACTGACAGAGAACTTGCCTCTAAAGGTTTTTAATTTTAAATGTTGGATAACTCATTTCAAATGTTGGATAACTCGTCTTTAAGATATTACAATGTGAAGCCCTCAGGTCTCAGCAGTTTGTATGGAGAATATGTTTTTGCTCACTTTATCTTCAGCCTTTCAGCCTCATTCTGTGGTTCACGTCGTGAAAATTACAGCCATTATTGATATCTTTTGGATCTGTGTAAATACAGAAAATGTCTTTCTGTATGTTAAGAACATTGAGAAATAAAAACCCTGATTCATTAAGTGATGTGTTTTGAGAAGTTTGTTTCCCGAGTAAAACAAGGACCCAGGTCATGATCTGTGATGGGATTTAACAGGAACACTTTTCATGATTTCCGAATCTTTTCTGTGCTTTTGCCGGTCGTTTTCCCTGTTTTTGGGTGCTCTTCGCAGGTTTATCGGTCGCTGCGCGACCGATTTCAATAGAGTCTTCGCCGACCTAGGTCTCAGACCCTAATAAATAATCGGTCCGATCTCAACGCCCACCTCACTGTAGTCGCATGGGCTACCTACTGCCATGATTTAGGCCACTTTTAATGGGCTTTTGCCCCTCGTTTTCCCTGTTTTTTGTGGGTTTTTCATGGTTATCGCTCGCTTTGCAATCGACTAAATTGATCGTAATGATATCAATTATGCGAGTTGCAGTCACGTGGGCTCCGCATTTATGTATAAATCATAAAATACATTTGTGAATCCTTCTGTGAGCATATTAATATTGAGACTGATTTGACTCCATACAGATGTTAAGTTCACCTAGGAATGGTATCGACTTAAATGTTCAAATAAATGTTGCTCTTTGGTCTATATTGGTCATATGATGCCCCTTGACTGAAATGTTTCCTGTTCAATATCCCCACTGATTTCCTTAGAATTCTGGGATGAGAGTCCACATCACAATTTACTCTAAACTGTCATTTCCCTTTCATCACTCACCTCAGCAATGGACCTCTCTCCACTGTCCCTGTATTCTGCCTCTGACTCACTCTCAAGTGCCTAGATGTCAAGAGAGGTGGTGAAGTGATCATTATTTATTGAGAAGTATACTCTTTCACATTGAATCATAACAAGTCATACTGAATGTAAATACAACTGACTCTAAAGTAAGTCCCAGTCTGTGACATTGGACATTTTGAAGACGCAAAGTCCCAAGCAGTAGGTAGAATATTAGCTAGTCTATGTAATGTGCACAAAAAATAAATAGTTAACTGAATACTGGGATGGAAATTGCCTATAAGCACTCAGTAAAACATAAACACAAACAAAAAGAGTACCAAAGATAAGAACTAGAATTAAAACTTATCGAACTGAGTCTCCAGTACATCATGGTGTTTACATGAGCACAGCGAGATCGGGTTATTCATGTTCCCTGTTTACATGATAAATACTAGTAACCTGGCATTTTGATGCCTTTTCTCATCTAAACTATTCAGTATTTGTATCTCTCTATCATGACATAAAGACGAAACTCCTCTCAAGAAGTGAGACGCTTTTGCCGCCGCCGCCATCACTGGTAACTGATTAACTGCTACCAGCTGAAGACTTAATTTCCTCTTC